ATGAACAGAATGTCATGAAAACCTAGGTCATTAAAGGATGTCATGAATTACTAGCTTAAACATAAAAGTATTAGTTCCATTACACTAGCGCAAAAACATTTTGTCGAAAAACATAATTTTTTTCAAAATTGACGGGTTTCCATTGAGCAAATTTATTTGCGAAATTCTAATTTGCGCATTTTCATGGTGAATGGAAACGCAGCTACTGATGCCTCACAGGTGTTTACCACAACATACATTAACGACCCTGAACCTGTAGGTTTGCCCAGCGGGCGAGCGGTGCCTCAACCAGACCTTCACCAAGCGTCAGTACAGCCAGGTGGAGATCTTCAGGACTCTTTCTCGAGGCTGGGGGCTTCGCTGCGTCCACGACATCAAGAAGGTCAGCTCCGTCGGGACGTTACGACATTAGCTGTGGCGAGTTGTTGAACGCTCTCCTCTGTGTTCCCGTCAGGGCCACTTCGTGACCGAGTACGTCGGGGAGGTGATCGACGAGGAGGAGTGCAGGTCTAGGATCAAACACGCACAAGAGCACGACATCTGTAACTTCTACATGTTGACTCTGAACAAGGTACATCAGCACTCTGCATCCTCACAGACTGCCAGGTCCACAACACCTGACTGGGTTAAAGAAAAGACATTCTGTGTTTTAGGACCGAATAATCGATGCCGGGCCAAAGGGCAACGAGGCTCGCTTCATGAACCACAGCTGTCAGCCCAACTGTGAAACTCAGAAGTGGACAGTGAGCGGAGACACACGCGTGGGACTTTTCGCTCTTGTGGACATCACTGCAGGTCAGAATAATAATAATGCTGAGTCAGCTTTCAGAATATTGTTTTCCTTATAACTTTTTACATACTTTTTAAATGGTAACCAGTTCAACAAACTTGCAGCTGTTTTTAACAACTAAATCAATATGTTCAGCTTTTTCAGGACATTACAACTACAACTTTTTGTTTTTATAATATGTTTTTAAAAATTTACCTTTATTTAAATATTTTAGACTGAATTGAATGTTAAACCCACATTTTAAAAAAAAACATGGATTTACTGGTCTTAGCTTTTAGTTACTGTTTTGTTGTTCTAAGCTTTTAATTACTGATTTGCTCATTTTAACTTAGCTACTTATTTACTGGTCTTAGCATTTAGCTACTCTTTTGGTAATTGAAACTTTTACCTCCTATTTAGCTTGTTTCCACTTTTAGTTACAGTCTGCTGGTCTTAGGTTTTAGATGCTGGTTTTTTTTTATTATGTAGTTACAGTTTTGCTACTGTTAGCTTAGCTTTCAGTTATTTTGTTGGTCCCATTTTTAGCTACTGTTTTGATGATTTTTAGCTTTTAATTACTGTTAGCTACCTTTGTTAATCATTCTAACTTTAACAACTCAGTTTCTGCTTTCTTGTTCCACGTTTATGCTAAATTTGAACAAATTTAGTTTTTTAAATGATGGTTTTTGATGATTTGTCAGTAAAAATCTTTCAGCTTTTTGTCTTCTTTTGTCAACAGCAGATTTTCCACTGCCTGATAATGTTTCTTTAATCTGAAATCTAAACTTGATCTATTTTTCAGGCACAGAGCTCACCTTCAACTACAACCTGGAGTGTTTGGGAAACGGGAAGACGGTGTGTAAATGTGGAGCACCAAACTGCAGTGGATTTCTGGGCGTCAGACCAAAGGTGAGCAACACGAACCGAAGCCCAGTCGCTTTTCTGAAATACAACACCCCAACCGTTCTGGTCTCCCAACAGAACAATCCTCCATCTGAGGACAAAGGTCGCAGGCTGAAGAGGAGAGGCCACGGCAGGAGGAGGAAGAAGGTGGTGTTGACCAAAGAGAGAGAGGACGAGTGTTTCAGCTGTGGGGACGGAGGACAGATGGTTTCCTGTAAGAAACCTGGATGCCCCAAAGTCTACCACGCAGACTGCCTGAACCTCACCAAGAGGCCTGCAGGTCAGTGATTAATTACTCCTCATGCAGCTCACCTGTCTRCAGGTAGGAGCTCACTATTAGAGCTTAGCTGGTAAAAATAATTGGTAACTTTTCTGTTGCAGACCAATTTTTCAAAAATCATGTCTTTCAACATTTGCATTTTTGGTCATGCACATTATTTTGTTCTTAATGAGTAACTTACCCCTAAATTAACTTTTTTTTAGCTGATAAACTGTCTAGAATGTGTCTAAAATGTTATAT